GAGTAGCCTTTCCTAGTTTTACTGACCACTTAAGGTCCATTCACATCCTTTGCCCATGTTTTTACTAGATAGTCTGTCTTTTTCTTATTGGTTATCAGCGGGATTTTAAAATCTGTGTATTCTGGATACTAATCCTTTATCAGTCATATATGCACTGCAAACGTCCTTTACTAGTCTATGACTTGTATATTCATCTTAATTATAGTGTCTTGTCACATGTAAGTTTTAAGTTTTTATGTAGTCAAGTTTATTGATTTTTAAAATTTATGCTTTAGGGTTTTGTGTTTGTATGTTACTTTCTAATCCACCTTGAATTTGGCTTTGTGTAGGGCGTGAGGCAGGGATCTAATTTTGATTTTTCCATATGGATAGCCAGTTGTCTCAGTTACCATTTATTGAATAATCCATCCTTCCCCCACTCTCTGTACTCCCCCATCTGCTATGGATAAACACCCGTGGCAGTACAGGCTTGTGTCTGATCTCTCTGTTCCACGCGCCTCTCTGTCCTGGACCTGGGTCACATGATCTTTATTAGTTTCACAAGATATCTTGACGTCTGATGTAAGTCTTCACCTTATTTTTTAATCTTTGGGTCTGTCTTGCTATTCTTGGCCCTTTGTTCTTCAATATAAACTTTAGAATAAGCTTCCTGGTCACAAAAAAACATGGTTGTAGTTTTGATTAGAAAGACATTAAATTTGTAAATTAAAATGTAAAGCAATTGACATCTTTTCAATGTTGAATCTGTTAGTCCTTTAACCTAGTGTATCTTTAATTAGGGTGTTTTTTATGTCTTTCAGAGAACTTTTATATCTTTTCCATATTTGGTTTGATGCATTCTTGGGTGCCTCCATCTTTCTCCCCCAGTGAAAGTTCTGCAGGGATGGGCTCCACACACCCACAGGCTGCCTGCCTGCCTTGGGTTTTGGCCTGTCAGAATGTCCTTTCATCTCTGCTAGGGAGGGGGCGGGCCACTGAAGTCAGGGGTCTCCCAGGAGCCACGTGGGCTCCATCATGGTGCAGCTCTCTTTTGGAGCAGGTTTTATGGTATGCTGCCTGGTTATTAGACACAGTTTACTGGAGGTAGTAAAAACCAGGATCTGGAGATTTCAACTGTCCGATCCAATTGGAATGGGATTAGGGCTTTTAAATGGTCATTTCCAAGTGCATCTGGGCTCTTACATGAACTGTCTTTCCCTCAGCTAGAGGGCCTTATGATTTTTAAAATTGGTATGAGTTACAGGAACGGTGTTTCTCCCTGACCCCTAGAATTCCCTGTCCTCAGAATCCTGACCCTTTTCTGGGGTGAGCATGTTGGGAGACTTGGCTAACAGACTTGCCTTGCAAAGAGGTAATATTAGGGCCAGTGTGCAGCCTGTCCAGATGCAGCCCTGACCTCACTTTGGCTGTCCGTTGGCCTGATGTCACCAGCTGGCGTGTGCGCTCTGGGGCCACAGTACGGGCACTGGATGTGCTTCACCAGGCCTTGTGCAGCAGGAGCTGACCTGCTTCGCCTCACAGGTGTGTCGTGCTCCTCGGGAGGCATCAGGTGCCGCTCGGAGGAGGTGGCCTGGAGGTCCTGGGGGTTCCCTCCTGTTGCTCATCACCTTTACTGACAGTCCTGCCCTTGTTGGGGTGAGAATGGACCCAGGGAGTTATGAGCGTTGGTGACATGCTGTCCGTGCAGACAGCTGTGCCCTGAGGACAGGTGCAGAAGGTTCTGGAAGGAGAATACTGGGGTGAGCTCTCCTCTGATCATGGTGGGGAGAAGCCTGCAGGCATGAGGAGCGGTCAGGTGCTGCCCCTGGACTTGTCAAGGCTGCACCCAGGGACCAGAACCTTCCGTGTGCAGTGCCCAGCTGCTGCTGCCCTGCCCCTGCCTGTGGGATGAGGGAGCCAAGCCCGGGAGGACAGGAGGGGCATAGCCAGGGTCGTCCAGGCCAGACTCTTGTGGTTTCTGGAGCCATCAGGGTCCGAGCCATCAGGGTTTCTAGTGCTGTTTCTGGCCCCAGGGCTGTGGGTCCAAATGGTGAGAGCAGGAACAGGCCCAGTGTGGAGGGTCACGTGCAGCAGAGTCATTGGGGAGGAGGCTGGCTAGGTGGGGTGGGCCTTGAATGCCTGGAGGGAAAATTTGAGCTGAATCTCTCAGTCTGGGGGTTTTCAGTTGAGTGGTGGCGGGATCACAGGGGAAGGGGTGCTGTGACTGTTGCAGACTCTGTCGCTTTTTCTGCGGCACTGTGACTCTCCAGGTGGAGGAGAGTTGTCCTCGTGTAGCAATATCCAGAGACTACATGGTGATCCTCAGTAGGCAGGGCAACTGAGCCCCCCACTCCCTGAGTCTGGAGAATCTACACATGCGATGGTGCTTTCCTGGTCTGGGCTCTTTGGATTTCTGCTGCAAAAGGAAGGAACAGCTTATGGTTTTGCAGTTGACCAGCTCAAGACCCCTGTCCCTGGGGCTGAGCGGGGAGATCAGCTTCTGTGCCCCCAACCACCCCATCCACTGCATCTGCCATGGAACCCCAAGGGCAATCACTCAGTGGCCTTTCCAGCTCTCTGGCTCTCTTTTCCCTCCCCAAACTAGTCTGGAGCCCGGGAAAATTGGGAGGTCAGGATTTACAGGTCAAGCCTGGTGCAATGGCGGCTGGAAGGCCTGGACTGGGGTTCAGGACCCTCCCCAGAGCCTGCCTTGTAGTGGGGCCCCGCACACCACTCTGAAATGGCCCCCAGCGCTGTGCTTCCCAGTTGGTTGGCACCATGGTCATCCAGCAGCCTCCCCCCAGGGGGGCTTCAGGAAGTCACATCTCTTCCCTTGGAGAGTTCTCCTTGCTCAGGGGCACCACCCCGGGATGGTTTGGAAATGGCTGGTCAGCTTGGCTGACTTGGTCCTAATTGGGAAGACCCCGATTGAATGTGCCAGATCCCAAAGATGAGGGAAACCCCTCTGTCCTGAGTGGGCCGGGCTGTGAGCTGCCTGTGGTGTGTGGGCAGCCCCTGCTGAGACTCGGCCTCCTGGTCTACCCTGTACTGCGATGACGGTATTTATTGTTCAGGTTAAGCTTCATTAAAGCAGAAGCCCATTTTCCATTATGATATGAATTTTTTATTTATTAAATTGCTATTTTAATATGATTTACCAAGTCACCGAAGACAAATAATCCACTTAAGAACGAAGCTGTAAAACTCCATTTTTTCCTCATGTGGTGTTCCTGTGAAAGTGTGGCTTGTACTGCATTCTGCTTGCCAGTTGGAGACATGTTGTGGGGCTGCAGAATTCACAGCCCAGCCTATGAATTCCAAGTGGGGGGGGGTACCAGGGCTGGCCTGAGGCTGACCTCTACTCTCTCCTGTTAAATAAAAAGCTGTTAAGCAAATTAAGAGTGTAAACAGGATTCCTTAGAGAACCCATTGTTTTGGAACATCCCTAAGTACCCCTGGAGCCCTTTCCCTCTCACATTTGCAAAGCTAATCACCAATCGTGCATTCCCAAGGGCAGGCTCCCCTACACCCTTAAAGACCTGAAGTTTCCCCTATGTTGTTCAGCCAACTTCAGTGTTTAAAAGGAAAAGGCCTGTTTCTTTAGATACATCCTCGGGGTCAAGCTTCCACTAATTCAGCCTGGCAGTTCCCCTGTGCTCCTGGAACCTGAATTGGTGGATTTCGGTGTGTGTGTAATTTCATTCCGTCTCTAATCCTCCTGTGGGGCTTGGGGCAGGAATTACAAAGAAGGGGTCACGGACCTGGAGCGAAGAGGCTCCCAGGCCAGTGGGAGAAAGAACGAGTGAGCATTAAAGAGGACAGTGTAACAAATGCGACAACAGAGACCTAGCCAGGCTTGTGGGTGCAAGGGCTGGGCCCCCGACTGCCTGGGAGAAAGGGAGAGAGCTTGAGGAATGATTAGGGTTTATCTGGCTGAGAAACCAGGGAAGCATTCCTTGCTGGAGCAGCAGCTGGTGCAAGGGCAGGGGTAAGGCTGAAAGGGCCTGGTGTTTGGGGGAAATTGTGAGGGTTCACCCTGAGGTGGCAGGTGGGGCAGGGCCCAGGATGCCAGAGGACTGAGTGTCATGTGAAGGTGTCTGGACGTATCTAAAGGCAATCGATGTCTTTAAATGGCTCTGTGATGTGATAGGAGTCCACTTATTTGGAAAGGGCGTCCTGGTTACCGTTTGAAGATGGGCTAGAGAGGGCTAGAGTGCAGATGGGGAAATCAGTGTGGTCCACGGTACAGAGGCCTCAGTGGCGTTTCACTGAGCTTGAATTGATAGTTGATTTTAGTTCCAGCAGAGAAAAATATTTTAAATTTTTATGGTGATGTATATTTTTAATGGATATTAGCAAAACTGTATCTAGCACATCAAATCTGTACTGCTGAGCTACAGTAGAAATCCGTTTAAGTTGTTAAAGAAGTGGGTTGATTTAAAGGAAAAAAACAGGGCAGAGCTTTCCATTCTGGCAATGTGGTCGACTTGGTGTCCAGAAGGCCAGTCCTGTCACAGAACACACTGAAGGATGCCTGTGTACTTTTAAAAACATAACCGCAAAGGAAGAGAGACTCCCACAGAGCAGAAAACACAGCAAATGTAAATCTAGAGAGGTAGAGGAGCAGCATCCAAGCAGGTGTTCACCCTGGGGTGTCTGCCAGTTAGTTTCTAGGGCCTTCAGCCTGGTTTTAGTGAGCCACAGGCAGGAGACAAAACCGGGATACTGTTCAGAAACTAAACAGGAGCAAGTGCTGGCCTTTCTTGCCCTTGGCCACGGAAGTTAAAGAAAAAGGATTCTTTAAAAGTCTGGGCCCCTCAGAATTTCCAACTACAGCCCTACATTCACATGGGTTTGGAGCCCCCATTCACATTACTAGTTGGTCCTGAGAAATTTCAAGCTCCAAATTTAGTTTAAGGCAGTCTTGGGATACTAGTGACCTCAGGCTCTGGCAGAGGCAAATACAATTTTTTTCCCCCCAAAGAAAACCACTTTTGATCCAGCATCAAAAATTCCAACAGATAAAAGTTCCAAGGACTATCAGCTCCACAGGGGGAAAACGGCAGAAGTACAAGGAAGCAGGCCACCAAGAGCAAGAACCAGCAGAGACAGCAGACTGCAGAAGGAGACCCACGAGACTACAGATGTCAGAGCTCTCTGAGATGCACTGGAAGATAAGTCTAATATGTTTAAAATAATAAAAAGGGTGGTGTGGGATGAAAGAAGGAAAGGGAAGCCATCACAATTTACAAGGCAGGTCTGGAAAAAGAACCAAGTTTCAAATTTAGATGAGGTTAGCAGGAACTGTGATAACAGTTGAAGAGATGACTAATGAACTGGAAGAGAGCTTTGAAGAAGTACTTCTCCCAGAGAGACAGAGAGATGGAAATATGAAAAGAGAGGTGAAATGAAATGGAGAATAGAGTGGAATTTTTGCAGACGATGGACGTCTTCACTATGGTGCGTGTGGTGGTGGGTTCACAGGAGGATACACATATCAAAACCTGTCAGATTATAATGTGAGTTTACTGGATGTTAGTTATTCCTCAACAAAGCTGTTTAAAACTAATGAATAATCCAACAAAAGTTGACATGTAGTTTTGGTCTTACCAGACCCCTGCCCCCTCCTCAAAAGACTTTAAGGCAAAAGCATTACCTGAGATAAAGGAGGTCATATATATTGAGAGCAATATTGTTCAGTACACCAGGAAGATAAAACAACATTAAATTTGTATGCACCTAACAACATAGCTTTCAAATAGAGAAAACAAAGACTGGCAGAACTAAAGGAGAAATCAAATCCACTCTTGTAACGGGAATTTTTAACACACCACTCAGTTGTTGATAAATCATGAGCAGACAAGAAAACCAATAAGGATTTATAGGAGATTTGGCCAACACTGTTGATTATCTTCATCTAATGGACGTGTAGAGGACCCTGTATCCCAGAACTCCAGCATACATGCTCTTTTAACACGCACCTAATAAGAACAATAGCTGGCAATTACATACTGTTTGCTACGTTCCAGGCTTTCTAAGTGCTTTACATTGTTTAATTTATTTAATCTTCATAACATTTTACAGATGAGGAAACTGAGGCACAAGGAGGCCAGATTCCTTGTCCCTGTCACCCAGCTAATAGGTGGCAGAGCCAGGACTTAAACCCAGGCGCTCTGGCTCCAGGGTTTGTGTTCTTGATTCTTAACTGTGCTGCCTTATGGAGCATTTGTGAAAACTGCTTGTGTCCTACTCCAAAAAGCAAATCTAAACAAACTTAAAAGAACCAACATCATATAAATCACATTCTGTTACAGCACAGTTAAGTTATGAATCAATAACCAAAAAAAAGCTGAGAAGACAAAGCAAAGTTAAAAATGAACCACGTGTTTATAGATTTTAAAAAACATACTGATAAGTAAGCCATGATTCAAACAAGGAAGCCATAAAAAAGGAGCAAAGTCTTAGAACTTAAGGATAATAAAGGGACTATTCATTAAAACTATGGAATGCCCCTGAAGTGGGGCTTAAGAGAAGGAAATTTATAGCCTTAAAAGCTTGCTAATATCAGAAGTGAAGAAAAGCCGAACGTTATGAGCTAATTGTCTATCTTATGTTAGAAGAAGAACTGATTGATTTAAAAATAAGTAGGAGCTACTCTACTTTTGGGTGTTAGAAAATATCGACAATAAAAAAGAGAGAAAGTAAGTCACTAGAAGAAAGGACGTAATAAAGACAGCAGCAGAAGTGAATGAAATACAAAAGATCAGCAGACCTAAAACTGAATCGAAAGTTGGTTCTTTGAACAGACGTGAAATTAACAAATTTCAAGCATGATTAATAACTAAAATGAGAAAAGCCACACAAAAGTGGTATTAAGAATCCCAAATAGGATATTACTACAAATGCAACTGAGATCAAAGAAAAACAGAATATCATGAACAAATTTGAAAACTTAGATGACAAATTCCTAGAAAAATTAAAATCTTCCAAAATTTGAAAAGGTCTGAAGTATTTTATACCCATAGAGAAATTGAATCGGGAATACGGGTCTTCCCACAAGGAAAACAGGCCCCCCTGTTTTACGGGCGTGTCTAGCAAACATTGGAAAAACAGATATCCCAGTCTCGTGCAGACTCTGAGCGTGGAAGAAGAGGGGAAAAGCAGTAAACACTACCTTCGTACTTAAACCAGACAGGGGCAATTCAAGAAGGAAAATGAAAGGCCAGTCTCACAAGTGTGAACGCAGAAATCCTAAATGAAAGATTAGCGAACAGGCCTAGCTATGATTAAAAAATATAATATATTGTGACCAAATTGAGTTTATCTGGGAAACAAGCTTGGTATGACATTAAAGAAACTATTATACTAATGTAATTCACCACATTAACAGATTTCAAGGAGAACAATCATCCTCTCAATTGATGCAGGAAAAGCGTCTGATGAAATTCTGTAAGCATCCGTGGTACGAACTCTAGTAAATTAGGAATAGAAGAGAACTGTTCTAACCTGTTATGTGTTGTCTACACGAAAGGCCTGGAGCAAAACAAACTTCATTATCGGGAGTGAAATGTGGAAAACAGGGTCCCTTTTAAATCAGGAAGTAGAAGGCAAGGATGCCGCTCCACTGTCAGCGGTTCTGCTCAACATACTAATGACGGTTCCAGCCAGCCCAGTGAAATAAGATAACGAAATACACCCGTCTCTAGTTTTCTCCTTACCATCCTCTCTCACACACTCAGGTCAGCCCTCCTGCTCGCCAGTGACCTCCCTGTGGCCAAATCCAGGGGTCACCTCCCAGACCCAACTTGGCCCTTCTGCAGCGTCTCCTCTTCTCCTGTGTTTCCTCCTGGCTCCCTGGATACTCCTGTTAGGGCCTTCAGTCTTCAGTGTATGCTTCTGGGCTGGACCACAGACCCACCTTCCTGCACTATGGATGCATCTGTCCAACTGCCTACCTGCCGTCTCCACATGATGCCTAACAGGTGTCTTAGGCTTAACGTGTCCACAAGAACAAATTCACAGCCTGCCACCAAAACACATTCTCCTGCAGGTTTTTCCACTAAACTCTCCTCACCTTAGGAATCTTCATCCTTCCAGGTGTTCAGGCCAAAGATGTTGGTGTTATCCTTGGTTCTTCTCTTTCTCTCATACCCCATAGCGCCCATATTCATCAGTGTACTTTGTTGACTCAAGTTCAGAATTCATCTAGAATTTGACCTCTTCTCACAAGCTTCAGTGCTACCCCCCTGGCCCCAGTCACTGCCACTTCTTGGTTTTATGGTTTCTGTGGCCTCCTAACCTCTCTCCCCAGTCTGCCTCTCCCCACCTTGCCCAAGGCCAAGTCTCTTCTCAACGTGCCAGCTAGAGGCATCCTTTGGAAGCACAGGTTTTTCCTCTGCTCAGAGCTTCCAGTGGTCATGAGGACAAGCCAGTGACCAGGGAGGCCCTGAGGATGTGGGCCTCAACTCAGCTTCTGCTTGGCTCACCTCTCTCTCTGTTGCAGCCACACTGATCTTGCCGTTTCTGGAAGGTGCCAGACAGTCTCAAACCTCAAGGTCTTTCATTTCTCCACAGATGTCTATATGGCTTTCCCTCTTTGTTTAAATGTCACCTTGGGTGACTGACCACCATTTTTAAATTACAGCCCCCTCTCCCAAATGTCCCTGGTATTTCCCATTGCTCTTCTTAGTGCCTTGTTTTTCCCAGATCATGTCACCATCTTATACATTATACTTGTTATTTATTTGCCTAGTAAACTATTGATAGTAGTCATGCAGGTGTCACATGAGATGGCACAGTCGTCAAGGCGTCACTCTGAGAGCTGGAGTCTGGAGAAGGCTGGGATCAGAAGTCGGTGGTGTGTAGTGTGTGTTTGAACTAAGGCGGCAGCATGGGGAGGGTGCTCCTGAAGGGAGGGGTGTGTGAGCCCCGAGGAAGGGAGCTGAGCCCCGGGTGACCTGCGATGGAGGAGGCGGAGAGGGAGTGTTGGACGCAACGAGGAGACGTACAGGATCGTGACTTGACGGGGTGTCACAGCGTCCTTCCCTGCCCCACGACTTCGGTCAGCCTCACTTCCCTGGGAACGCCGGGAGAGCAAGGACGCCCGTGTGGGACAGACCCCGGCAGGTGCTGCCCTGCTGCCCTCCTCCCATTCAGCCTGGGCAGACAGCTTGGCTTCTGCTCTTGTTTCCTCACCTGTGAACTGAGACTCCCTCCCTCCCATGGTGGTTGCACGAGTGGACTCGGCCCCTGGTGAAGAATTAGTGCTCGCTGGATTTGCCTTTTGTTATTGTTGGCTATCATCTGTGCGAGAGAAGAAAGGAACTTGCCTAAAACCTGGGCTGCTCTTCACCTGCTGTTTGTCAGGCTGCTGGCACTTAAAGAAAAATTCATGTTTATTTTAATGAGATGAAAATTTTGAAATTAAGGCATGAAGTAAAAACGAGTAAGGCAGCACCGCTTTGGTCCCCTCCGACCCCTGCCCCCGTCCCCGCGGCCGTGGCAGGCAGCTGCGCAGCCCCGTGGACGCCCTGTGGACGGCCCGCGCTCAAGTCTCTGGTTGTGTTCTCTCTTGCAGTCTGAACCTGAGGGCTTCTCGCGCTTCCACTTGTACGTTTGCGCTGCTTTTCTCGTGAGATGGAGGAAAGAAATACTAGAAGAAAGAGATTTTCAAGTAAGTAAATGCCTTTTCAAAAGAACCGGAATTTGATTTTCTACTCGGAGAAGTTTATTAAATTTCAGTTCATGGGGTTATTTGTGGAAGAGCTTTGAGACGCGCCGCCCGCGTTTCACCGCTGACCTCCTGCTGTTTGAAAGCTCGTCAAGCTGAGGAAGCAAATCTGGCTGTGGTCACGTGGGCATCGGCCCTGCCGACACCATGCGTTATTACATGTGGCTGTTTCTCAGGCTCCCCGGAGAAACTTCTGATTGGCCACAGCGTGTCCCCAACACTGTGGCCCTGGAGGGGTGGGATGTGGGGCCTCAGCTCCCAGAAGCCCCCTGACGGCAGCTGGCTGTGCTATGTTAGAGAAGGTGCTGGGCGAGTGATCAGATAGCCTGGGTTCCTGGCCACTTGGTAGCTGTGTGACTTGGGCACATTACTTAGTCTCTCTGAGCCACAGTTTCTTCAGTGCCTTAGTGGGAGAACCACCTTTGCACCCATTCATCAGAGGCTCTGTCCTCAACCGAGGGGCTCAGTGTGGGCTAGGTTCCCACCCCCAAGTGTGCCTCTGTGCAGTGGCCTGAGTACTGTGTGGGTGTTGACCCCTTCACAAGGTGACACCCACCGTTATCCAAGGTGCTGGATGGGCAGACCTTCGGCCAGTGCCCCTGGGAGGGGGTGGGTCGCCTGTGGTGCTGTAAAGGGAGCACCAGCAGTGGGGACGTGGACCCACCACTGCCACTGACTGGCTGGGACGTCACTGTCCTGGCGCTTTACCTCCTCGAGCCCTCATCTTTCAAGTGAGGACAGGCTAGGAGGCCCTGCGGCCCTTGGTCACAGTGTGGGGGCTCTGGGCAGCTCTTGGCCTTGTCGTTCCTCGGCCTCCATGCCTGCGAGACGGCTCCAGGCATCCCTGCTCCAGCTGCCGAGGGCCGTGGGGAGCAGCAAGTCCTGCTGCACTGCCCGGTAGCTTTCCATCTCGGCCGCCAGGAGAGACCGGAAGAGAAGGACCTCCTTCTGGGTGAGCAGAGCCTAGTGGCCAGCCTGCCCACGTGCCCTGAGGTATTCCTGGGTGGATGGGGAAAATGAGGTCATTTTTTTCACTCCAGTTCCTGCGCTTTTTGTTGGCACAGGGCTCAGGTGTGCCTCGTTGAGAGCATTGGTACAGCAGCCAGGTTCCCGGCTGGCTATTGCTCCTGCCTTGCCTCTTCCAGCCTCAGATCGTTGTCTGTAACATGGGTAGAATGCACCCACCCTGCCCTGCCCCTTTGGGCTTATGCAAAGCTTGTGTGAGGCTGCTGGATCTGGGTACTCCTGGACCACCTGGCCCGCCCTCATCACTTTGCCTTGGGGACCCTCGAGGTGCTGAGAGAGGCAGATGCTTGCCCATGTTACCGAGTAAGGTAGACTACAATGAAGGCGACTAGACCCACGGTCTCCCTGCCGTGCGCACCATGGTTTCCCCACAGCGTGCTCTCTCGTCCATGGAGGTGCGGAAGAGCAGTGCTGCCTGAGCCGGGCACTGGCCTGCAGACCGACTTGGGTGTTTATTGGAAGGGAGAAGGGCCCAGCTTCCCTGGTGCACAGCGGCCAGCCATGGTGTGACTGTGGCCAGTGTGCCCACCTGTGCCTGGGCCAGCTCCCTGAGCGCCTCCTGGAGAACAGGTGGTAGAGGTGACTGGGTCCCCCAGAGACTCAGGCTGACCGAGTATCTCGGGTGTCTCTGCCTCAGTTATGTCTGGGATTCTCTGGTTGGGGAAACTGTTTCCTAGAGGTCCCGGACAGACGTTGCTGCGCTCCCGGGGGCCGTGCCTGGTCAGGGGCGGTGGGTAGGAAAGAGCTCAGGGGCGATGTCAATCCCTGAAGCCACGAGTTGCTGTGTGCAAGAATGTGCTAGGACGAGAGGCTTGTCGTGGTCCCAGAAGTTGCTCTTGAGCGCCAACTCTGGGCAGCCTCCAAGCCATACATGTCTGAGGAGTGGCCCTCATCCTCTGGCTCTCGAGTCTGGTTGAGGAGAGAGACCTGTAAGCAAATGAGTGACCTTAGGCAAGGGGTTTTGCTGCTCTGCCCTCCATCTTTTCACCTGCTTCCCAAATAAGGACCCTGCTGCCAGGGTTCCTGTCCCACAGTGGCTCAAGTCAGACCAGACACACAATGGCCACAAGGAGCGTGCTGAGCAGGTTGTGTTCTCCTTGTTATGAAGTGCAGCAAAGGGACTGAAGTAGGGTTGGGTTCCCCCTGGGCTGGAGGTCAGAGGGAGAAGCAGCCCTGGACACAAGGGCACCTGAGCTGGGGAGGTGCCCGCCAGGACATCAGTGTTGGGTTGGCCCTTGTCCCTCCTGGCACCTACGCGCTTTGGGCTTCTTGTCTTCCCACCCCTCACACAAGAGCCCATGTGATGGGCCTGCCCCGGGCTCTGCAGCATGGCAGGCTTGACCCCACAACAGCGTTCCTGGTGGCTTTGGAAGATGCAGCACACTTTTTATCACACTTTTTAAGAGACCCAATGTATTTGCTGTTGACTGGACACATTGCCCTGTGTAATGAGAGGGGCGACACGGGCAGCTGGTTAAACGTTTCGCGGGCCTTCTCAGAGCCCTGCTCCCTTACCATGAGGTTGACGGAGGCCAGGAGACGAGCACAGCCAGGAGCCTGAGGAGCCCTGTAGAGTGCGAGGGGCAGGGAGGGAGCTCAAGACTGACCTTTCCTAAACTGGGAACACGCGCGTGCCGACATCGTGGGGGTCAGCTGGAGAGCGTGTTGTGAACACCACAGTTGTGGAGAATTGAACTAAATGGGAAAGGAAATAAGAAGAGAACACAGAAATTAAATAAAGAACCTTCGGAGTCCTGGTGAGCATGGAGGGATTGCACCTGCGGTTGTGACATTTAGGAAAATGATTCTGTGTCCGTGGAAGACAGCCTGAGTGACTGAGACCCGAACCTGAGCTCTAGCAGTAGAACATTCACGGAAGGGCTTTAAGGGCCCTCACTCTTTGCAGAGTTGTAATTTGCCCCTTGGGAAATAATGTGTTGCTTTAAGTCATTTCTATAGGAATGGAATCGTTTTCCGAGGACAGAGTCTTCCCAGAAGAAAGGCGGAGACTCTCCTGGTGTTAAACGTGGCCCAGCGGTGTGGGTGCTGGGGAGGGAGGGCGATGGGCTTTGCTCCATGAGCTCAATTCCCAAAACTTGAGCAGGCAGTGAGGTTGGGCTGCTGCCTCTTTCCTGTGTGCCTTGCCTCTGAGACTCGCCTAGGCCGTGCTCTGGTTCCATCCAGGTCTCTGAGCGTCCGCGAGGGCCTGCCGAGCCCGCCGTCTCGTGGGTCCTCTGGATGGAGGGAGGCATCTTCTGGAGTGGACGCTCACTCCTGTCCTGAGCTCTGGTGCCCGGGAGCTTTGTTCTGTTCCTTGAGGATTCACTGTCCCCCGGCCAGAGCTCATCCCATCCCTCGTGCAGGTAACTCTGCTCCATGACTGTCGGCCCCACAGGCGCCTCACCCTGCGTGTCCAAATGGGGCCTCCTCCGCCAGCCTCCATCCCCGCCTCTGCCAGCCACTGAGGTCCGAGTCTTGGCGCCCACAGCCTGGCTTCTGCCCTTCCGCCTGCCTCTTTCTATCCAGATTTTGTAGGGTCTTTGGGGTGGAAGGAACTTCCTGTGTACAAAGTCTTATGTGCCCTAGCGGTGCACCTGGCATACTCCACCTCGTCCTCGCCCTCTGGGGGGTATTTTACAGTAAGAGCACTCTGGGTCCAGAGAGGGTGAGGAACTCACCTCACGAGCAGCTGAGGGCATCCGCTCCAGCTCAGGCACATGGCTGAATACGCCTTCCGGGGGTCGGCTTCTGCGTGGCCGGCATGCTCAGAAACCTCCGTGGCTCCCATTGCTGAGACTCCAGTCGCCGATGCTCCAGTCCTGGTCAGAATGATGGATGTGTCTGCGGGGCATCAGATGCCCCTTCTGAGCACACGCCTCCTCACCGACAGGAGCCGGAGTTACGCTCCCGTGTTGGTGTTACTGAGATCTCTGGCTGATTCGTAAGTGCAGCATTACAAATAGTTGAAAATAAGTGACCCTAGAAAATTATTATATCCATTTTATCTCCCCAAAGTCTAAGCTTCTTAGTTTGGCGTCCCGGGACACAGGGGTCTGACTGCAGCCCTGGCCTTGTTCACAGCTGGCCTTTGCTGCTGCCAAAGCCTGGTTCACCCTCACCCTGGTCCTTGGCAGAGAGAGCAGCTCCCAGGCAGATCGTCCCTGCCTGCCCGCTCCTGGGACTGCGACCCAGAAGCGTGTGGGTGCAGAAAAGCTCTGTGAAATTGGAAAATTCTCCACCCACGTGGAGGTAGGGGAGGTGGTGTCGTTGTTTTTGATTTTGAAGATGGCAAGTCCCTTTAGACACAAAAGGAGATGACAGTGTACAGTGTTTTGTTTTTCAAAGTAGAGAAAGTGATTAATTTGTGGTGATCAGAGCATGGAACTTCCAGTGAAACCATGGACCTTCTCTGTGGAGACCTCAGGAGCTTAGAGGTCTGTAAATATGTCCAATAAATTAACCCACTGCTGCGTATTTGTTGATAATGGCTAGCCTCCTCAGGAGAAACGGCTTCCTGTGTGTGCATGGTGGCCGCCAGCCCCGGAAGGCCTGTGGGCACAGGGAGACCCAGTGGAGGGGCCTCGTCTGCAAACGCTGTTCAGCCACAGCAGGGATGCTCAGTGTATGGGTCATGGCTGCCTCACCGTGCGCCCCGCATCCTGGCGAGAGCTCCCGGCGGCTTGGTAGGTGGTGTGAGAAGGCCCCTTGCGTGCTGGCCTGCTCTGCTGGCCCAGGCACCTTCCTCTTCGTCTCCTTTAGATCTCACATCACTGCTCAGTGGGACCCGGTAGGAACAGGGAGC